GCCTATGAAGGGTGTCATGAGGTTCGGGAAGAAGGGCAAGCTGAGCCCGAGGTTCATTGGTCCTTTTGAGATATTGCGGCGAGTTGGAGAGGTTGCTTATGAGCTTGCCTTGCCTCCCAGCCTAGCAGGAGTTCACCCGGTATTCCACGTGTCTATGCTCCGGAAGTATCACGGCGATCCGACTCATGTATTGGATTTCAGCTCATTCCAGTTGGACAAAGATCTATCTTATCTTGAGGAGCCAGTAGCCATTTTGGACAAGCAGGTCAAAAAGCTCAGGTCAAAGAATATTGCTTCAGTAAAGGTCCAGTGGAGGGGTCATCCGGTCGAGGAGGCGACTTGGGAGACCAAGCAGGATATGCACATCCAATACCCTCATCTTTTCACAGTTTCAGGTATGTCTTTATACTCGTTCGAGGACGAACGATTGTTCTAAGAGGAGGAGGATGTAACGACCCGGCCAGTCGTTTTGAGAATTAGAGCCCCGATCCCCTAATATCTGCTTTTCCCATATTTGTTTCTGCTTTTGGGACTTGCCGGAGTGATTGGTTATGGAATCTAGAGAGTTTTGGGATACTTAGTCCCTAGTTGTGAGTTTAAGCCTTAGAGTTTGGACCATAGTCGGAACTGTGTGAAGACGGATCCAGAATGAAATTCTATCGACTCCGTTAGCTTTGTTAAGTGATTTTGTGGTTAGGAGCGCATCCGGAATGTGTTTTGGAGGTCTGTAGTAGATTTATGCTTGAATTGACAAAAGTTAGTTTTTTGGCAATTTCGGCCGATAGTGGAAATTTTGATTTCGAGCTCGGAATGGAATTCCGAAAGTAGCTGTAGGCTCGTAGTTTCATTTGTGACCTGTGTGTAAATTTTGAGGTCATTCAGACTAGATTTGATGTGGTTCGGCGTCGTTTGTAGAATTTGGAAAACTTTAAATTCTTAGGCTTGAATCCGTGCTTAATTAATAATTTTGGTGTTGTTCGATATGGTTTAAAGGCTCGACTAAGATCGTATAGTGTTTTAGGATTGGTTAGTATGTTTGGTTGAGGTGTTTCGGATGCTTAACGGGTGAAAGCTTGGACTTAGAGAAATTTTTGAGTTGCTGGTTTAGTGGTCGCAGATGCAACGAGTGAGCCACAGGAGTGGAGCCACATATGCGGAAGGGCAGTCGCAGATTCGGAGGTGAGAAGGACCCAAGGTTCCGCAGAAGCGGACGATTGAGCGCAGAAGTGCATCCGCAGGTGCGGACTCAAGCACACATGTGTGTACCCAGCCCGGATAAGTGACCTTCACACCTGCATTAATTTTTCCGCAGGCGAGTGATCGCAGATGCGGCCCCATGCGCGCAGGTGCGGAAATCACTGGGCAGAAAAAAAGGATTTCAAGGGTTTGAAATTTCATAAAATAAAATTCGATTTAGAGCTCGGTGGGAGACGATTTCTCGAGGGATTTTGAAGGAGAACTATTGGGTAACTAATTCTAACTCTATTTTGATCATAATACATTAATATATTATTGTTTTCCTCGTCTAGTTAACTAAATTGAGGGTAGAAGTTTGGAAATGGGGGAAAAGGTTCCCCAATTGAAAATCTGAGATTTGAATGGGAATTTGACGTCGGATTTAGATGATTTTTGTTCGGGTGAATTCGTGAGTGAATGGGTGTTCATAATTTATAATTTTTGCCCGATTTTGAGACGTGGGGCCGGAAAGACTTTTTGGGCATTTTTCCTAATTTTACGCTTTAACTTCGAATTAATTAGCTAAATTAGTTATTCGTAGTTATATTTACATTATGCAATTAATTTGAATAGATTTTACTCATTTAGAGTTGGATACTCGTAGCAAGAACGTGATATCGAGTTGATTTGAGCGGTTCGAGATAAGTGGCTTGCCTAACCTTGTGTTGGGGACTTTTTCCTTAAGATGTTTGATATTAATTGATGTGTGGGTGTCGTGTACGTATGGTGACGAGTACGTACATGGGCTATTATTGCAAAAATTCCGTTTTTCCTTTCTAAATCATTAACTGTTTTCCTTTATTAAATTGCACTAATACGTTTAATTGTTTAGCTTAGATTAGAGGAGCATGCTTACGTGTTTTAACTGCCTATTTGGCATTCTGTGCGCCATGCTTAGTTAAATCCTTATTTTCCTTATATGTATTCAGTATAAACCGTATAACTCGATGCCATACCTGCCATTACATCTTGCGTTGCATATTTAAATTGGGACTACAAACGTATTCCGGGAGATCCCCCTGTCTTGCAAATTTATTTTGGGACTACGAACGTATTCCGAGAGATCCCCCAGCACTGCATATTTACTTTGGGATTACGGACGTATTTCGGGAGATCTCCCAGCACTGTATATTTACTTTGGGATTACGGACGTATTCCGGGAGATTCCCCTGTACTGCATATTCATTTGGAACTACGGGACGGTATCCCGAGAGATTTTCCACTGTGTTTATTTTGTTCTGATCCGAGGGCTCCCTTAATTGTTAAAGTTTCGAAAATTTCTTTAACTGTGTTACCGTAAATTTTACTTATATCTTTTACTGTTTAATTAATTATATTTACTCCGGTAGGGCTTTGACCTGACTTCGTCACTACTGGACCGAGGTTAGGCTTGACCTGAACTAGAATGAGACTCTGAAGATCTGCGGACGCAAGCAGCAGTACCATGATATAACGACCAGGATGAGTCGTTACACTTACTTAGTCGTAAAGGCTAGGTGCCATCACGACACCTTACAGAGGGTTAATTTGGGTCGTGACAACAATAGATCTTGTCTGTTCAAATTCTTAAAGGAGTTCTGCCAAATGCTCTCTTTCACATATCTTAAAAAATGAGGCTTGGAAAGGCAATATGTAATCTTGAACATCTGTTACAATTTTGGGAGCAAGATATTAGAAGAGTATTATCCTATATCCAACTCAAAGGGCGACATCATGGACACTCTTAGCATCTCTTCACGCACTAGTATCGTTATGAACTATGGGGCTGGTGGTTTGTTTCTGGTACGCAAATGGACCTCGAGCATTAGGATATCAATCTACTCGAACCTTGAGAACAAGATTCTTTTTGAGGATGGGAGTATTGTTGTGAACCAGTCTGACTTAGTAAGAGATTTTGGGAAAGAAGTGTGGATCGAGGCTGATCCAATTGGGACTATTGGGCCCGAAGCTAAAGGCCTAATGATTAGACAACTGAATAGTATGCTAGGACATTATATTTGGGATCCGGGCGGGAGATACAGGGCATGCGTATTATTGAGTAAAATATCTGCTTCTCATCTTCCTCCTTTTTGAGTGTCTGTATTCCCTCATCCCCATTCTTAGTCTGATCTTCTCATCTCTTCTTCTCTATCCTTTATATTTCAGTTTAGTGTCTTTAATTCGTGTAATAGTTTGAGTTGAGTTGTAACTTCCTTTCACTATTGAAATAATAGAAGTGTTAGAAAAACGGGTTTGTTACATCTACTATCATTGGGGAGTTCTTATTGTATATTTAAACTCCAAAGTTATGACTTTTCGGAATTATATTATAATCCCATGTTTTCTACGATCAATTATTTAAGCTACAAAATCCTATAGGGTATAATTGAAAGAAGGTTAATCCAATAAAATAATAAAATTATTTGAATTATTAATGGTAGAATTTCGTTTTTCATACTAGATGTAGCAATATTTTTTATATCATTAAACCTTTTCTCTTTGGCCTTCTCTCCATCTAAAAGCGGTTTATTATTGAAAAGAAAACACTTAGCTCAATTTTAATATTCATCATTCAGAAAAAGTATTTACCATCATGGGAATGACGCGTATTGAAAAGGTTAGAGTTGTCCGTACATATAAATTAAACTTGAATTAGGGGTTAACTAGAATAGGGACAAACAGTGGCTGGATTAGTCTCTTTAATTTTGATTAGATCATTTGGTCAACTCCTTAATAACACGCGAATCAGATTTAATTTTTTTAATTAATCACGCGAATCAGATTTGATTTCTCAAAACAAAGAAAAAGATTTGATTGTAATTTGTTTTATTTTTAAACCAGTGAATGGAATCGGATTATAATGTTTTTCAGCGATTCGGATTACATTCAATTCTTAAAGGAAGAAGAAAATATTGGGTATAGAAAAGACAGGCTGTTGCTTTTATTCTTGGCTTTAGTACACAAATTGAGACGTTTATTTCTACAGTATTATAAATACATAAATTGGCACGTCTACTTGGACAATTTTGTAATATACAGATCGACAATTCGACTATGTCTTTACTTCTGTCCCCTATTTTTTTTGGGTAATTAATTAGGCTTTTTATTAATCACCAAAGCAATTACAAATCATTAGCTTAGCACACTCAGCCATCTAATATTAAAAAAAAGAAGAAAACATAATCAAAGATCCCAGCTTTCCTATACAGCAGTGCTATGTGTAAATTAAGGAAGAAACTTAAAAAATTAGCTTTTGCATTAAGCATTTCAGTTCCCCAGCACCCCTGCAGCTACAAACACATGCTATCTCTTTTGCCACTCCTTCACAATCTCTGGCCACCCCTTCAAAAACTCTTGCATTCCTCTCCTTCCATATGACATATATAACTTCAGCATATATCATCTTAATGAGTTTGGCCTTTGTTATCTTCCCTTGAATACTTTTAACAATCTCTTGGAATTGTAGTTCCTAGTTACTGCCACCATAGAATTGTTGTTGCGCCCACTTGCTGACTTTGTTCCAAATTGCCTCAGCATATCTGCATTCAGCAAATAAATGATTTCTTGTTTCATTGTGAGCTTGACACATTGCACATACAGCTTGTACATTAAGGCCCCATCTCAGTAATCTATCCACTGTTAGAAGTCTGTCCTGACATTGCAGCCACATTGTGAATAAGACTTTTGGTCTTGCAAAGTTCTGGAACACTAGTTTTCTCCACCTTAACTTTGGGTATTCTCATATCAGTTGTAAGTATATTTGTTTAATGACACTCTTATGTTCAGCAATGTGTCTGCTCAGCTGCTTAATGGTACCTCTTGCCCCCAGAATTTTTCTAACCATCCAACTAGAGGTTTGTGGAATGGTCATAGTTCCCAAACTCTGATCCTTGATGTAGTAGGCATGGATCCATTTTATCCAAAGTTTATCCTGCTTATGAGTCAAATCCCAGTGTGTCTTTGCAATTGCAGCATTGTTCCATACTTGGAGATTATGCAAGTTAAGTCCTCGAGTAGACTTAGGCAGGCAGATCTTCTCCCAAGTAATAAGGGCCTTCTTTGTAATTGTATCACTCCCAGACCATAGGGAGCTTCTGCAATGGGTTTCAACTATTTGTATAACCTTAGCTAATAAAGGGAAGAGTTGAGCCCAATAAGATTAGATCCCAAATAACACTGTTTGAATCAATTGAATTCTCCTAGCATATGATAGCTTATTTGCAGTCCATGAAGAGATTTTAGCCACAATTTTTGCTATGAGGGATTGCCACTGTACCATGGTGAGATTCTTAGTGTCTAGAGGTACCCCTAGGTATTTAAAAGGAAGTTCACCTAGTGAGTAACCTAGCTGTTGAACTATAGCCTCTTTCTCCCTATGTGCCATTCCTCCACAATAGACTGCACTTTTGGTTAAGTTAGCTTGCAAGCCTGAGGCTGCTGAGAAAGTAGTAAAACATGCATGAAGTCTCTCTACATATTCACTGTCTCCTCTGGCAAACAACAACAGATCATCAACAAAGCTTAGGTGAGTGATCCCTAGCCTTCTACACCTTGGATGGAATTTATAGCTTTTCTCATGTTGTAGGTCTTTAAGTAGCCGACTCAAGTACTCAATAGCAATGGCAAAGAGAAAATGAGACATAGGATCTCCTTGTATCAAGCCTTTGGCTGCATTAAATGGTGCAACTGATTCTCCATTGAGTATAATAGAGTAATTAACTGTTTTGATACAGTTCATTACCCATTTGATGAACTTTTCTAAAAACCTCAGTCCTTCCATAACTTGCTCTAGGTAGATCCACTCCAATGAGTCATAAGCTTTTTGTAGATCTACCTTTATCATACATCTGAGGGAGATATGCTTTCTACCATAGGATTTGATAAGTTCATGTGCCAGAATGATGTTGTCTGCTATTTTCCTTCCTGGAATAAACCCTGCCCGAGCCTCTAAGATGATGTAGGCCATAACTTTCTGTAACCTGCTGGTGATGACCTTAGCAGTAATCTTGTATAACACTGTACATGAAGCTATAGGCCCATAGTCTTTGACTGTATCTGGATTTGGAACCTTAGGCACTAGAGTAAGTGTAGTGCAGTTTATAGCTTTATACAAGGTTCCTGTGGTGAAAAGATCTTGGACAGCTTCATAAACTTCATTCTTAACAATGCACCATGTCTGCTTGAAAAAGACAACATTAAAGTCATCAATTCCTGGAGCCTTATCATCTCCAATTGAGCTTAATCCTTCATAGATTTCCTCCTCTGTAATTGGGGCACAAAGCTCTAGCTGTTGAGTATGTGATAAGCAAGGGAAATTTCTCATTACCAATATATTCACTGCTGGTAGTTTTGATGCTGCAGTTTCCATCAAGTATTTGTAAAAGCTAACAAATTCTTCTTTGATAGCTTCAGGATCCTGAAGATTGACCCCCCAACAATGACTTGATCTCAGTTATTTGCTTCTTCTGTTGCTTCTATTTCATTACAGCTGAAAAGAACTTAGTATTTGAATCCCCTAGTTTGATCCAGGTGGCTCTTGACTTTTGTTGTAGTGCACTTTCCTCTATCAAAGACCATTTTTCTAGTTGGATCAAATAGTTTTTCTCCTGATTAACCAATGCATCAGAGTAAGCACCCCCAGTTCTTCTTGAATCCTTTTCAGGTTTGATCTTTCTTGATTCATCTTCTCTGTAATCCCCTTGAACTCTTCTAAGTTCAACTATTTAAGTGCAGGCTTCAAGCCTTTCAACTTGAGCCAAATCTTCTTCATTTTCTCTGTAGCCTTATTTCTACCCCACTATGTTTTTATAATTTGCTTGAATCTGGGGTGTTCTATCCAGACATTGAAGAACTTGAAAGGAACTTTGATGTTTCTTCTTGCTTCTCTCATTGGGATGAGAAGGGGTGTGTGATCAGATATGAAGAGTTCTCCATATACTGCAGTCAAGTGCCCACATTGAAGCATCCATTCATCATTGGCAATTACCTTATCAATCCTGCTACACACTCTATCATTCCCTCTCTGTTTGTTTGTCCAAGTGTAATATTCCCCTTTCCAAGGAATCTCATTTAGAAGCAGTGCATTGCAATATTTAGAGAAATCTTTTAACTCAGCTACTGATATAGTTATTCCAGACAGCCTATCACTGGGGTGTAGGATTGCATTGAAGTCCCCACTAATTAGCCAATGTTTATTGATTATAGGTGCCATTGCTTTCAATTGATCCCATAACGCTTTCCTTTTTTCCACTGTATTAAAGCCATGTACTACTGTAAGTATACAATCTATTCCATTCTGCTTTCCTGTCACCATACAATGAATAAATTGACTTGTACTAGCTAGATGATGTATGCTATAGAATTTAGCATCCCATACTACACATATTCTTCCATTCCTTGCATCTCTGTAGTTGCTTATTCTCTCCCAACTAGGAACAATCTTGTTGGCAATCTGTGGTGCTTTGTTTTCTTTTACTCTAGTTTCTAGGAGTTCAGCTATTTTTATGTGATTTTCTTTGAGATACTGCTTTAGTTCCTTCTGCTTGTACCTCTTATTTATTCCTCTTATATTCCAGATAATCTAAGCTATTGGGCATGTTGTTTCCCCCCTCCTGTATCTGGGGGTTTCTGGCCTTCTCCTTAGTGTCCTCCTTCATGTAGCACTTGAAATCCATTCTTTGTTGAAACAACTATATCTAGGCTTGGCCAAATTAAGTTGTTTGTTTTCTGTTATGGCTTTTTACTCCCACTTGTTGTTAGCTTATCAACTAGTTTGTGAAGATGTGGTGTTCCTTTTGGCTTAACCTGCATCCATTCTCCTCCTTTAGCCTCTTTCCCATCATTGATAGGATGTTGATCCTTTTGATTTATTGCAGAGTGTTGTATCAGTTGTCCAGTTGGCCTCCATGTAGGAACTAATCTTGGTCTCCTTCTCCTTTGTAACTAGTCTGCCTTCTCCTCATGTGGTGCTTTGGCACAATCATGTCCTAATTTTAAGCACTTGGCACAGAAAGCAGGCTTCCACTCAAATTCAATAGCCTGCTGAAATTGCCTGCCAGAGGGATCATTCACTGTTATTTCATTAGGTAGCTCCTTTGTGACATTAACTTCAATAAGGATTCTAGCATAAGAAACTCTAGTCTTCTTGGTGGTGCATCCATCAGCAAATAAAGGGTTGCCTAGTGGACTAGCCATCCTACTCAATGAGTTACTCCCCCAATAATTCATAGGGAGCTTAGGGAACTTGACCCACAGAGAAATTTCTGTCAGGAACTCAACTTTAAAGTCAAAATCAGGAGTCCATTGTTTGAGAATAATTAGTTTGTTGCTTATGGTACATGGACCTCCATATAGTATGTCTTGCAGATCCTCAATACTCTGAAATCTAACAATATAATAACCCTGTTCGTGTAGATAAATTTCAGGTTCTGCAAAGGCATTCCAAAATTGAACAATATATCTACACATACAGTTATAGCCCGTCTTTTCCCTAATCACATAAACAATGAGTGATTTCCTCCATTTTTCAGTTTCATTTTCAACCTCTGTTTTATCTAGGTTAACCACAAATTGGCCATCCACAATTTCAGGCGGGGTATAGGTTAGGTTCATACCGTGTTCAACTATTTGATTCCCAGCAAATAAAGTTATCCATGGAGCTTCAGGTATAGCTTCCGGCGCCGGAGTAGGTGGGTCAGCTTTCTGTTTGCCTTTGTCCAATGGAATCTCTCGTCTGTCCTCCATTTCCTCCATTGCAATCGTTGCCCTAGATTTCCCATTTGATTGAGCGATGCTCTTAGCTGAATTTGCTGAATTTGGTACCTCAATCAGTTGATTTGGGCTCAAATTAAGCCTCTTCGATGCCGCTACTTTTGTATTCTGCGAACCCAAATCGAGTGACCTAGCAGGAAGGTTCCCAATTGGGGTCACCACCTTTTGTGTACTTCCTTGTTCAAGGGTTTCTGCAATCACGCCTTGCACTGATGGAGCTTCCTACAGTAATAAGTGGTTAATTTTTGAATGGTCTTCCTCTCTTCTTAGCTATGGCATCCACGGGTCGGTGCATGTTAGCATAACCTACGCCGAGAGCAAAGCTAGAGAGAAGATATTTTTGAATGGCTTCCCTAAATTCTTTTTCATTACGTTAAAAAGACAAGATCTTTCTTATATAGATGGAGCTTCTCTAATTCATTTGGTTAAAAGGACAAAAAATTGTCGTTTTGATAAATCCAATTAAAAAAGATTAATTGGAAATCAAAACCATCGAAAAGTGGATTCATCATATTGATGTCGATCTCTGGCTTCCAAATGTGTCCATTTTATTGCTAATCTTCTTCTTTTTTTTTTTTTTTTTTTTAATCATAATCACATGTGAAAGCATGCCACATTGAATTAACAGAATATGAAACAAGAAGGCAAAAAAAAAATGCAGAAACTCGTGTATATGGTCGAACACTAATTAGAGGCAAAAGGGATTGATTATGGTAGTTGTCCAATTTATTTCTCCTAAAGAACTACGTTGTGTAATAATTAGGGAGCACAGAGTCAATTGGCTCATCCTTATTAGTTTGAATTTTTGGAAAATTAGATTTATACATGCACCTACTAGTTGGAGTAGATATCTGTCAGATATACACCAAGATAGTCTAAGAACTCCGGAACCAAAATATTGTTTACTTGGACTCAAAAGCACAAAAATAGGTAAACAAATCAACTAATGACCAATTTATATATACGCATGGGTTGAATGCGCTATACCTTAACGGCACATTTTGCCCATTAAGGTATAACACATGCAACTCAGGCGCTATGTTTGAATTTGACCGACCCACAATAATTGGTGGGTATAGCACATGAATTTATTGCGCCACATATAATCACTTATAATGAATACATTATACCCTCAATTATTGTACCCTGCATGGTCTTTTGCTATTTAAAGAGTTTCATTATTTCGATAAAAATCCATTCTGGATAGGTCACTCTTCTACATCCTTTTTATTTTCTTTTACTCATTCCGAAATATTTGTTTACTTAACTTTTTCTGCGTTTTGTCATAATGTCCGAAGAGAGAAAAAATAGGATTGCATTATATTGGGGAGGGGTGAGTTTGTCGTGGAGAATAACTCAGTACACTATAGTTGTTCTCCACAATGTATTGTTAAGTTGCCACTTACAATGGAGTATGATAGATTGGTTTCGTTGTTATGTAAAAAAAATGAGTGTGGGAAAACGTTCGGTTAATAGTAAAGTAACCGGAAGATATCCATATTATGTGAATCCGCAAGGGGTTGCTTGTTATGCTGATTTTAACATCGAAGACGATGAAATCCTGACAGATTTTTTGAGGACTCCGGATGAATGGCAAGAACTTCTTGTGATAAAAATGTTGGAATATATGTCATGTTTGAAGACACTCGCAATATTGAGGTTCCGCAAAATAGGGATAACCCTCAATCATCGGGTGGTATTTTTGGAGCAGTTTTATCCTAACAGATTTCGTTTGAAAGAGTTTGGCCAGATTTAAACTTATCTCCATGGGCGAATGAGGAGCGAGAACATAATTTCTCCCCAAGTTTACATAATCCACAAGTCGAATGGTAAATTTCAATTTTCCTTTGTATAAGTATATTTTTTTTATGTATCATATTTGTATTAACACTCATATATTCCAAAGGAGGTACCGGCCAGATATGAATTTTACAAGTTACGAACCAATGGACAGTTGGAATATGCCCAGTTTTGATGTTTTGGATCATGGTGGTCCATCCGGGAGTCATCAGCAACTCGATAATGTGCATTATGGGATATCAACAGATTATGACTTGTAAGTTAAGAGATAAAGTTTATATATAATGTTGGGATGAATTTGAGAAACTCATTATTTTATTGGTTGTGCAGTGAAAACGAGCAACTTGAAGGTCGTGTCCTTACTCAATTGCCCGAGGACGATATATTTAATCAGGATCTGACAGATGCATAGAGTCAGAAAGATAATAGTGATTATTAGAACAATGATGATGAGTCTAAAGATGACACACCCTTCCCTGATGAGGGCGATGATGATGAGAATGAGAATGAGCAATCTGATTTGTCGAGGGAGCATGATGCCACCAATGAGCATGCTCCATATATGCAAACTCCACCTCCCGCTAGACCTAGAGTGTACGAGTCACATGTACTCTTTCATTCAAGGGAAATTCTCTACCTTGATCAGTTGCCCTGTATATCGGATGTGGATGCCCTCACAAGGGATTTTGATGACATTCACACAACAATGTGGGATGAATCTAGACCAATGGTGTTGTCAAAAAATATGATTTTTGCGGATTAAGCGCGCCTAAGCAGGGGAGTGTGAATGTACAGCATAAAAGAGTGTCGTGAGATCGTCGTGTTTTTTTTTCCAAAACCAAACCAATCAAACCAAACTATAACCGAGTTTTTTTTTCTCAATTTGACTCGCATTATCGGGTTAGTGCGATTTGTTGGTTTCATTTGTACACCCATAGCTCATAGCTCTGGGATCGTGGCGTTTTCTCCTATGCGATTCTGATTATAAAGCTATCAACCAAAGAACTTTTAATTTATTAATAAACAACTTAAAATGGGATGCCTAGTGCACTTTACATCCCTTGTATGGTTTGCAGGCTATTACACAGTGGGGGATTTATTTAGTGCGTATAGAGTGCTCACCCAAAGGGCAGATGCTGTGACAGAGGCCGTGGCAGCTGCGAATTTTCTAAGGGTTCCAAAAAAAAAAAAATTAAAAATGGGAGATCATATCCTTTCTGAATCTTCTAATCACCTTGTTCTCTAACTGGATGCCACGTTGGTCTGATAAAAAAAGATCGCCATGTGTAATTTGTTTATTACATTAGGAGGGAAGATATTGAATATCATGTCATGGGTCGCTCACTAACTTGACTATTTCGAATGGATAAAAATAAAAAAAAAATTACGCGACACATCAAATATTTGTAATGTATTTATCATTCGTAGTTATATTTGAATTTTATAGCAAATCTATAAAATATGAGATAAATTGTTTTGAACTGAAACAAGAGAGCAACAAGCTCTCATATCTAAGTTAGTTAGAGCACCTGCTTAACTAGCGAAGGTCTTGAGTTCAAATGTTAACAAAAATATTTTATTTTCGGTATTTCGCCTTAGTTGTATTCGTTGTGCGAACAAATAGATTTATGAAAATTTCAGGGTTAAGTATAAAGCCACTTTGTTCTAATTTGACTTGGGGGGAAAAGATAGGAAAGATCACCAAGTGAGTTATCCCTCAACCTATACCATGTGTAATTAGAA